GGAAGGGCAGGGTTTGAGGAGGGGAAAGGAGCGGAGTAGATATGTTGATTCCATGGGCGAACTAGGATTGGATTGATTTTGATCTCGGAATAGAATTTTGAGGGGATTTCTTCGTGGTCGTGACGAAGCAAAGAGGACGGTGGAGCAAGAGGAAGGGTAGGCGGCCTGTCCAACCGGGCCGGGCTGAATTTTCGAATACAGGCTTATATATACTTATTAAGTTATTACTTGAGAGAGAGTATCACATGAGTATATATTATTTATTTATACATATGTATTATAGTTATCTATGTATTTGTTAAATATTTATATTATACTTATTTTAAGTATAGTTAATTACTTTACTTATATGATATATTTTAAAATACATATATAAGTTGCAATATATTTATATATAATTATACTTATGTACTTATATAAAATACTCACATAACTGTACTGTCTATATTTACACATATAAGTTATATTTATAACTACATTATATATATTTATATTTACGTATCTATACCATGGTATGAGTATATATATATATATATATATTATATATATATATATAGTATAATAATATATTATATATATATATATATGAGAATATGGAGAAAACTTGGTACCAAGTTTCTAATTGAACTTCGTAGTGAGGTGGTCGAAGATCTAGTTCCATATCATCCATTGGAGAGAGAGCTCATCACTATTCACCTAATTTAAAAGAAGGGCCTCATTCTCCAATGCATAGCATGTTATTGCGCTAGATTTGACCACCTCACTACAAGTTTTAATGAAAAACTGTGGTACCAAGTTTCTCATATTATATATATATATATATATATATATATATATATATATATATATATATATATATATACAGTTCGTTTCTTATGCGCACTAGTGCGTACGCATCCATCATCTTTCAGCGAATTCAGGGTTTTTTTTGTAAAAATCCTCCGACAATTTCGTTGGAGCTCGTGACCAGCACCTCTCTTTCGACTACAGAAAGCGGGGGCTTTTTTATAAAATGTCACCGAAGAGGATTTTTAGGCTTCGTGAAGATTCTCTCTCTTGGCCATTCTCTCTCTCCCAATTCCAAAACCCTTATCCCAAATTCCTTCCCCATCACCGACTTCCCCCAAATCCATCCTCGTCACCGCCGACCGAACCCTCCCCCAACTCCGGAGTCCCCGTCACCGCCGACCGACGGCCTCCATCAACGTAGTAAAGCCCCCGACTCCTCCCCCAACTCCGGCTCCCCGTCACCGTCGACCGACCTCCTTTATCATAGCAGTCAAGCCACCGACTCCTCCCCCAACTCCGGCTCCAAGTCACCGCCGACCGACCTTGTATCTCTTCAATGATTCTAGCCCTATTACACTTTGCAGGAATAGTAGTCACTACAGTAAATGCCATGTCAATATTCTCTTGAATCATTCATTTTGTGACACTCGCAGCAGCTCTTTTTTTTTTTTGGTGTGTGTACTGCCTTTCTGCTGACATATTTACCAAAAATAAGGTGATCATACTGACTGGTTACTGATGCATTGCAATTTGGCTTGGATTGGCATAAGTGAGACTGTGTTATTATGACTGCCTGTATCATTTAGAATGCTAATAATTAAGAAAACTTCTGTAATTTTTGTGTAGATGGTCAGAAAATGTCAATATGTGATGATTTTCAGTTGTAAATGATGGTAACTTCCATAATAAAGCCGTCATCAGATACTAGAATAAGATGTTTTACACTATTGGTGGAGGGCGACCTGGGCGGTCACTGGATGCATGCGCTGAGCTTAACACTACCATGATCTTGATCGACTGAGGTGCATGCTATGCTATGCTGACTTTTTTTACAATCAACTGAGGCTTCTTACATCGATCAACAGAGAAGGCAACAGATATCCTGATCGTGTAACAAATTTCGCTAGGAAACACTGAAAATATTTTCCTTTAATCAAATAGATGCTAGCAGAGCCCCATGAAATTATCTTAGACGACATCCAAGGTGCCGAGCTTCTGAGACAGTGAGCTATGTCTGTCCGTTGTTAACAAAAAATAGTACTCCAAGCTACCTAGAACATTAATTTCGTCTCGTCTCCATCTAAATTGAGGACCCTTTGCGGATTGACAATTTTTGGGTTGCATGTATCACATGAAAACAAGGGGAAGAGAGAATGGCCAAAAGTGGGAGTTATCAACAAGTGACTATAGAGAGCAACACCAAGATTAATGTTTATCAACGCAAAAGGTGTATAGTTGCAGGAGTATCCATAAGAAGTTAGTTACGCTAAGGGCATCTCCAACCCTTTGCCTCAAAATGGTGCAAATTTTGCACCAAAATGGTGCAAAAGTCACATCTAACAGTAATTCATCTCCAACCCATTGCACCATTTTTTACACCAAAAAGGAATATTCTCAGTATCTTTCTTTTTATCTACTTTTATATGATTATTTTTTATTCCCTATATTTTTAACTATTTCAACAATTAACCCCACATATCAAATTTTATTTTTTCACATATTTTCCAAACAAAATGATTTATTATTAAAAAATTTAAACTAATAAAACAATAAAATATTATTTTATTAATTAAAATAACTTGATTGCTAAAATATTATATTTTTATTATTGATATTGCCAAAATATTACATTCAAGAACACAACAGAAAATAAAATGTAAGAAAATAATTAAACATTAACAACAATGTAAAAAATACCTTGAGCTAGGTTAGAGAAAAGATTAGATGACTCCAGCACATTGATATCATTATTGGTGCCTGGCATACCAAAATATGCGTGCCATATCCAAAGATCATAATCTGCCACAGCTTCGAGGATAATAGTTGGTGACCCACTACGTCCTGTGTATTGCCCAGACCATGCTGTTGGACAATTTTTCCATTTCCAATGCATACAATCAAGACTTCCTAACATTCCTGGAAAACCACGTTTTTTTTCCAATATAGAGTAGCCTAGCAATATCGTTAGCGTTAGGTGTTCGTAGATACCGCTCTGCGAATATTTCCACCATAGCACGACAAAATTTTGTCATACTTTCAATTGCTGTTGACTCACCTATTTTAACGTATTCGTCCGTAGCATCAGCTGGTAGACCGTATGCCAACATGCGAAAAACAGCTGTTACTTTCTGTAACGGTGATAATCCCATTCTACCAAGTCCATCACTTCGTTGTTGGAAGTAATAGTCATGATCTTTCACTGCATCAACAATACGAAGGAACAAACTTCTTGACATCCGATATCGACGACGAAACATATCTTCTCCAAAACGTGGATTATCGGCAAAGTAATCTATGACCAAATTCTGATGCGCATTTTCTCGATCGCGGTTGATCACTGCATGACCGGGAATCGAGCCACCATGGATCGGTTGGTAGTTGTGTTGACGTAAATTGTTAACGAGGATCATGTTGTTGTTGATGTACTCACAAATTACTTCTTCGGTTTCATCAATCTCTGCAATGATATTGGACAGAAAATTATCATCATCCGAAGATGAAGATGATGATAAGTATGATGGACCTCCAACATCGAAATTCATTTTTGAAGTAAGAAAAGAATGACTGAAGTATGCAGAAATGGAGAATAATAATTTTAACACAACAATGAGTAATTGTGTGGATGTACCTAATCTAGTATGCTATTTATAAAACTTTGCTTAGCTGTATACATTGAACAATGTGTAAAGTTGAGCTGATTTTAGGAAATGCTTTCCAGCTGTTATCAATTTGTCACAAAATTCAAATTTGCTTTTAGCTGTATACGTTGGATAATGTGTAAAGCTGACCTGATTTCAAAAATTGATTCCCACTCGTACAAAGCTTTCACACAATTCAAGGAGAGCTGAGCTGTGTATACGTTGGACAATGTGTAAAGCTGACCTGATTTTAAAAATTGATTCCCACTCGTACAAAGCTTTCACACAATTCAAGGAGAGCTGAGCTGTGTATACGTTGGACAATGTGTAAAGCTGATCTGATTTCAAAAATTGATTCCGACTCGTACAAAGCTTTCACACAATTCAAGGAGAGCTGAGCTGTGTATACGTTAGACAATGTATAAAGCTGACCTGATTTCAAAAATTGATTCCCACTCGTACAAAGCTTTCACACAATTCAAGGAGAGCTGAGCTTTGTATACGTTGGACAATGTGTAAAGCTGACCTGATTTCAAAAATTGATTCCCACCGACAACGTTGGATAATGTGTAAAGCTGATCAGTTTGTACAAAATGATTCAATTTCAAATGTTGACCACCGACAAATTCAAACCAACCGCAAATTCAAATTCAAATTCAAATTCAAATTCAAACAAAAAAAACAAATTTGGATTGGCTATAAATAACATTCACGGTTTCTACTTCAAGCCACCCAATTCGAAGTATTTCTTCAAAGTATTTCTGATCTCCAAACCAACCGCTTTTTACAAAAAAATGTCTGTTCGATCAACTGGGTACACGGTTACTGAAGATGTGCTCCTTTGTCAAGTATTCTTGGATATTTCTCAAGACCCTATTATCGGTAGAAACCAGTCTCGAGATGCATTTTGGTCTCGTGTGGAGGACAAATACAATGAACTTCGAGATCAGCATTTTGAGATGCGTACGAGCCGATCAATTCGTTCTCGAATGGAAATTATAAGTAATGAAGTAAGGAAATTGAATGCGTGCTTGAGACAAGTAGAGAATCTGAATCCAAGTGGTGCTTCAGATGAAGATATTGTAAGTATTCTATTAATTATCGTTTGAATTTTATTATTATTGTTGAAATACATAACTTGATGTTCACTATAATTTACAGTTAGTTCGAGCAAAGATGTTATTTATGCAAGAACCGAAGTACAAAAAAGGTTTCAAATTTGATCATGTCTGGAATATGGTTAAAAATTTCGAAAAATTC